TTTTATTTAATACAAAATTATGGGGCGCCAATCATTTTTAGCTAGTTAGTTTTTTGTATGGGGCGCCAATCAAAAGAATGCCTAGGACACTTTAGAAATACAATACTTGGTAATTTTATAGTAAAATTGTGTCAAGCAAATGGTTATAAAACAGTTTCTATTAACTACTTAGGAGATTGGGGAAAACAGTTCGGATTAATACTTACAGGATTAGACTTATTTGGTGATAAAGAGAAATTAAAAGAAGATCCATTAAATCATCTTTTTGAAGTGTATGTAAAGACAAATAATGAGATGACAAAGGAAATTGAAACCAGAGCACATGAAATAAATAAAGCCATGGAAGAAGGTATAAATGAGGAGTATTTAAGAAGATGGAAGGAGTTACGTGATTTATCAATAGATAAGTTAAAAAAGTTGTACAAAATGTTAAATATTGAATTTGATGTTTATTCAGGGGAGAGTTTTTATGTTAAATCAGGCAAAGAAGTGATAGATAAGATTAATTTTTATCAACAAGATGAAGATGGATCAAGATTTATTGATTGTGATTGTTTAGGAAGAGTTGTTGTTCAAAGAAAAGATGGAACTTCTATTTATATAAGTAGAGATATAGCATCTGATATTGATAGATTTAAGAAGTATGATCCTCATTTAATCATTCATTGTGTTGCCTCAGAACAAGATTTACATTTTAAACAGTTATTTTGGATAATTAACAGAATGGGATATGATGTTTCCAAATTAAGACATGTAAATTATGGATTAGTTACAGGCATGTCAACCAGAGCAGGTAATGTTCATTTTATAGAAGATGTGATAAGCAGATCTAAAGAATGTATGTTACAATATCAGATGAATGATGATGTAGATAACAAAGAAGAAACAGCATCTATTTTAGCTTTATCATTTTTAATAATAGAAGATTTTAGTGCTAAAAGACTAAAAGGTTATACTTTTGATATTGAAAAAAGAGCTAAAACAAAGAAAGGTGAATCACTGGGACCAAATATTCAATACACACATTGTAGATTGGCAAGTATTGAAAGACAAAATTCTAACATTGATTTAACTGATGTAGATTATTCTCTTATTGAAGATGATTCTGTGTGTAATTTAGCATACAAACTTTTATGGTATCAAAATATAATTGAAATAACCTTCAATGACTTTGAGCCTTGTAAAATAGTTTCTTATTTACAAGATATTTGTAAATCAGTTAATAATTTAATACCAACATTAAGAGTAAAAGATGCTGAATTAAATATTGCCAAAGCACGTTTAATGATTTTAAAATCTACTAGAATAGTGATTGGTAATGCATTAAAATTATTAGGACTCACCCCTCTAAATAAAATGTAAAATTTAATTCTTAACTTTATATGACATTTCAATAGCTTTATTAATAAAATTTTTGATGTCATATTTCTTTGTTCTGCCTTCTAATTCAATTTCATAAATTG